TCTATTTGAATAATTGGATTATCTCCTTGTGTAAACATTGGACCCAGGTGAGAGTGGGGGTTTTGCAACCTTCATAACTGTATATATTTAGATCTCACGTTGGGGTTCCCATTAACATCAATAGTCTGTCAACATTTCCAGGATTGTCTAAGTGTGATGCTCAAGCCAATACTTGGCATGAGTAATCCGTACTGCATAGCCATTTCCAGCCAGGACTTCTGGGGTCACACACATTCTAAGTTTAAGCTTTCTTTTCTTTTGGCATTAGAACAATTTTGTGGAGTAAATTCTTTTCTCTCATGGATTCAAGCAGGTGGCTCATTTTATAGAACCTACCGTACGATTCTTCCCTTAACCATCTTTCTTTGTGGAAAAATGAGCAGTCCTCAACCATCCTCTGTGTTTTTTTTTGACTTTTATTGTGGGATTAATGTTATTAGTGGTAGTAATTGTACAAGCTCAAGAGCTTGGAGTTCTGGTGGCACATTTTCCCTCTTTAATAGTTTAGTCCTGGTGTGAATTCAGATCCCTAATTGTATACTTCTTTCTTTACCTGTCAATTAACATCTAGTGTAGGGAGATGCTTTAGAACTTTGGAGCAAAGAGTATGGGGGTGAAGAGTAACTCTTATAGGGCGTGGTTTCCCAAAGGGAGTCTTCACTGTAGCAACTGCACCATTTTTGGGGAATTGTGTGTGCTAAATTGAGAGCCCATGATTTACATTTTTTATTGGGGTCTATAGATAGTAACTTTTTTGTGTCTTTCTACTTTGGGCATTAATAACCAGTTTTGGAAATATTACTCCATTGGAATTCCTCTGTTCTACCTGGGCTGTTCACGGTGGCACAGGCTGCAGTGACTGACTCTGGTATGTTAGAGGCCTTCTTTTAGCTTTCATTGAGCACCTGTCTGTGATGTTGAGTCCTCAGGATTAGGACTGATAGATGCTGATTTAAAAAAAAAAAAGTCCCCTGCATTGCCCTGGTGCCTTCAGAAGCTCCTTGGGAATCCCTGTGTCTCCTGCCAGCAGAGGTGCAAACCCCACTTGCATCCGTGGTTTATGTTCTGGGTGAATTGTGTTGAGGGGGCCCATGTGTTTTACCTTTGCTTCAAGGTAAAATGTGTTGAACCAAAGTTACTTTTTTTCTGACTACAGGGTTTGTTTCGTGGTGCATTTTTCCAATCTTCTTTAGTTTGGCAGATTGTTTTGAATTTTAGTGCAGTCTGTAAGCTGTTAAGTTAAAAGGCGAATCGTGTTCTGGACAGATCCATTGTGCCCTCAAACAGAACCAGAAGACTCACCCACATTTATTTTGAGTCACTGTCTTTCCTTAACCTGCAGTGAAGTTTTCTGAGCTCTGTGGCACCTTTGTTTAAATCAGACTTGAAGCACTTGTGACACATACTTCATAGAGACTTTCTGCTTCTCCATGCTCTGTAAAATACATCCTGCCCATGACCCAGACCAGTGCTAGAGTTAATCACGGTCGTAAATGTACTTCTGAGGTGCCAATCTTTGAGGATTACAGCTCAAATGGTGCTGGCACAGGAGAGTAATTAGGGGCTTAGAATATGTGGTAATTTTCTTCACTTTTGGGAAAGATATTAGTACTTCATGTTTTTTTTTTTTTTTTTGAGACAGAGTCTCACTATATAGCCCTGGGTAGAGTACTGTCACATCACAGCTCACAGCAACCTCAAACTCTTGGGCTTAAGCGGTTCTCTTGCCTCAGCCTCCCACGTAGCTGGGACTACAGGTTCCCACCACAATGTCCGGCTATTCTTTTTCTGTAGTTGTCATTGTTGTTTAGGCCAGCCCTGGTGTATGTGGCTGGAGTCTTTCCACTGGACTGCAGGTGCCGAGTCAGTACTTCATGTAGTAAAATAGATCTGTGACTCTATTTAACTCCCCCCCTCCATACTTTAAGATCTTCTACTTCAAGTTTTGAATTTTTGTACGGTAAATACATATTTTGGTAGCAGAAGCAAAATGATCAGGTTAAAGACATTTAAACTTTCCAGAGATGATTTCTGTATATCTATATGCTTACAATTTTTTAGAAATATCTTAAGGAATACTTCTAGATATAAGCATATAATCTTCTAATTTAGATGGATAAAATCATATTAATTTTCAAATAATATCTGTAGGTAACTAATATGAATTTTTCAAAGCTAATATTTATTGGGAAGTTAAAGCTTTACAAGCCTTGTATCTAAGAATACTACTCTTGTTAAAGAACTTACGGCAAAAGACAAAGATTTGGCAAAAAATATGGTTTAATTCTAGAAGTTCTAAAACCTTGGAATTTTCAGTGTAAGTTTTGCTCTTGGTTACTCAAATTTTGTTCTAGATTGAATTTATGTTATCATAAGCCTCTAGAACTTTAAAGGAAATTTATAATTTTATCTCTAAGCTTTATTAATTTTTAACTTTAATATTTTCTATCTAGTGTATGATTATAATGGTGAACATCCAGTATTAAAACGTGTTGTCTTTACGTTAACAGAATATACATTTTATGATGATATTTCATGTAAATATTTAGAATTGTATGTAAAAAAGGAAAGTACCCTAAAAAAGGCATTTCTTATTTTGGTCAAATCTTGTGCGGCACATTAATTCATGACCTTGATTGCTTAACTGAATTTGAGCTTGGTAGTATAGCTGATGACAGTCCATACTAGTCATCTCAATGTTGCTGCTCCAGTGGGGAGTGTCTGAGTCTAACTTGATTTGTGTAGGACCCCATATGCAAGTTCCTTGTTATTGGTGCCAGAAGCAGGTTTTCTTTTTTAAATAGATGCCTTGAACTTGGGGTTAGGCAGAGATAGCAATTTAGTGATAAGCTTGATTGAAGTTAGTATTAATTGTTCATTTAGAAAGTCTGTGGAACTGGCAACATTATTTAACCAGCAAATATGGAACGAGGCTAAGGTGCCAACAGTCCACTGTTTGGTCCCATTATTTTCAGAATTAGAAATCTGTACCTTTGTCAGGAACAGATGCCTTCACCTAGAAGGAATTCAGATTTCTTCTTGCTTGGCAAAGGCTAACTCCAGAAATAGGGGAACACTTTTTAAAAATGTCAGGAGTATATTGGAAACAGATGGGAATTCAACACCTACACGAAATTCTATGAGATAAAATGTGAATAACTGGATTTGATTTAACAAAGGATCAAACTTAAAATATCAGGATTCGTAAAAAGGCCAAAGTTTGCAATTTAGAAGGATCACAATCAGCTCATTAGAATTCTACTTACACTGTTTTTTCTCTTGATAATGATTGCTGCTGATATAGATATTATTACCTTTTTTCTGCCTCATAGTTTTCCTTTTTTACTAAATCCACATAATCTTTTTTTTCCTTCAAGGACATGTGTGAGTTTGTGCTAGAATCATTGTTACTCTTTTCAGGATTTTTAATGTTTTACGTGATGTATTTCGTCTTTAGAATTTGGGGTGGGGCTAGATATAGAAAAGTGTTTTGGTTGGAATGATCAGGCTCTGGGTCTCAGCGGGCTTCAGGGTTGAAAAAGTTAAAGCTTACAGAGAGAGCAAATAAACATGGTCATCAAAGCTGAGAATTAAGATCTGTTTATTCACCTGCACATTTGAATTAAATCTCATAGCCATGGACAGAGCCATTTGACTTATTAAGATCCTGACAAAGTAAATTACTTTAGTCATGTTTAATGGTCTATTTGTGCTTGTATTTAGACACAGAGGTTGATGTAGTTACCATATAATGGATGGAGAAAGTCTTGTGAATTACTAAGCTATTGATTTACAACATGGAGAAGGCTGCTAGGATAGTTGACGCTGGACAATGGTGAATTCACCTGAAGAGTCTATTGTAGCTTTGGAGGAAGAAATTTTGAATTATAGAAAATAATAATAGCACATGGGCTCTTATTCTTCAGCATTGAGCAGCATTGTGGCTGAAGTAGATTGGAGGACGGAGGGTGAGAGCACTTAGGTTGGGTGTGGCTCCCATCACATCCGTTTTAAGAGAATTCCTCACAGTAGGGTTATAAAGATATCTAAGATATGGACTGGGGTAAATATTACTTAATCAATTCTCATTCTTTAGGTCTGTCAAGGTTCAAGTAAATAAAGCAGTGCTTTCAATGCATTTAATGCCTTTTATTTTTTAAAGTAGGGCGCAATTTGTTGACTCTGAAATCTTTGTGGTCAAGATGAAAGTTGGCTTCTGATACATAAAAACAAAAGGAAAAGCCTTTAATTTGTGTTGATTCTCTTGGTTCTTCAGTCTCTTTCCTCCATACTTACTATGGAGCGTGGTTTATGATGAAAAAGAGCACTTCATTTAACTTTGGAACTGGAAGTATGTTTAGCTTCAACTATGACTGTGGGACAGAGAACCTTCTCTTTAAACAATTTCAGTTTTTCATGAAAGTCTTATGATTATAGAAAATTTTTAGAGGGTAGTTTTATGTATTTTGTTCTTTCTGGGTTGGGCTGGATCTGGACAATTTGGTATTTAGTTTTTGATTTAAGGACCCCATGCTATAATGATCATTTCAATTGGGATCCCACACTTGGACGTGGGCAGGCTAGGGGTTTTTATGTCTTCTGTTTTCTCTGTCTTGTGCTTACTCTCTTGGTGCCCTCAACCCAGGGTTAAAATCCTCTGCTCTGGCCATTTGGGGCAGGGGCCATAGTACTTGTAATGTGCCAACAGGTGGTTCAACCCTTGTCTACACAGAGGGAGTGTCAGCTCTTCATATGCTTTTCCTTGGCCCGGATTCCTGACTTGGCCATACATTTTCCCCTCTGGTCTGGTATCTCCATGAACTATTCACTTTCACATGGTAGCCTCAATTCTGCCTTTGCATTTCCTCTTTGTTTCTAAGTTTATCTATTAACCCTTTTTTAGGGGGCTGAAAGACAAGTAACATTTGTCCTTCTAGCATGATATATTGGCCTGAAGTTTGATCATATTCCTATTTGAACTTTTTTTTTTTCTTTTACAGCTAGTTATGTGTCAAATCCTGTTTGCAAGGGGTGCTTGTCTTGTTCAAAGGACAATGGCTGTAGCCGATGTCAACAGAAGTTGTTCTTCTTTCTTCGAAGAGAAGGGATGCGTCAGTATGGAGAGTGCCTGCACTCCTGCCCCTCAGGGTACTACGGACACCGAGCCCCGGACATGAACAGATGTGCAAGTGAGCATTTGACTTTGTCCTGTTCTGCTGCATATGTGACTTAGGGGAGGAGCTAAATTGGAAATTTTGACTAAAAAGAAAGGTTATTCGGAATAGCCTATAGGAATAGTTTAAGCTCAAACCTGCAAAAGTAAGTGGGGTGGAACAAAAGCACATTCTATCTTATAAAGAAGTATATCATTTAGTCTTATACATATTTTGGTTATTTAAGATTACATGACTATTTTTTCAACATTTGTTAGGCAGAACTTTGTAGGGCATACTTGTCAGTGTTTACAAAAACAAAAAATAAATCACAAAGGAATTTACTTTATACTGGGAACAGTCTCTCTGGTTTACCACAGTTTCTTTTTGTTTTACCTGAGTTTATAATGCCTGCTTTAGACTAAACTGTAATTAAATATATGCATTTTAGGTTTCTTTAAGCACCATTACTGATAACGGTGTAACTTTCTGAGTTGTAAGTTTAACAGCTATGAAAAAGGCTAAGGAATGGCACTTTGTACCTAGAAATGAGGTACAGTTTTTCATCTTTTAATACAAAAATCACTTACAGAATGCATTTCTGTCAATGAATTAGGTCAGTTGTAGAAATTGGGGTTTAAAAAAGTAAGATGCCAAAGGAAAATTTCTTTCTTTAAAGAGCTCAAATTTTAGGGGATAAGAAAAAGGGGACCATGGAGTAAAATGACAAATGGGTCAGCAGTTTAATCACAATTTAATACATTAAGTGCTATAGCAGAAAGCATTAAATCACTTGTATGAGGAAAGTATTTAATGATCTATCATTAAACATGTGTATATTGCTATTTTGCTGAGATGGTCTTTAGATAAGAACTTGAATTGTGTCATCCAAGGATCAGGATATTTTGGAAGAAGGCAGAACTAGCTGGGGGAGTGGTTAAGTAAATTTTAGAAAGGAGGGGTCACATATGTGTAAAAATGTGTTTGGGGAACAAGAAGTCTCACCTGGGGTGCTGTTTGGCATTTTGACAAGGTATTTGTTTCACGGTCTTGTCCTATACTGCTGGACATTTAGTGGTTTTGGTTCCTGTCCATTAGATGTACTTTGTGTTCTCAAAGTACTGTGACAAGCAAACATGTCCCTGGACCTTTCTAAAGACCTTGGAGAGCAATAGCTTTGCAGGATGAAAGGTGTAGACTATTGTGTGCCTCCTGGGCTGGAGTGTAACTGGTCAAGGTGTGGAGTGCCAGGCTCAGAGTCTGGGTGTTATCTGAGGGTACTAAGCAGGCAGTGGACCTAAGCGATGACTTTATTTAGGATAATTCTAGTTGAAGTGAAGGAGATGAGTTGGAGAGGAAGAGAAACTGAGAAAATGTGCTGTAGCAGTTGCAATTTAGAGATCTTGTTCTGAGGAAGGGTTTGTGGGTAATGAGTTCCAGAGATGTTAAAAATAGAATCGATGAAGTCTGGTGATTAATTGCACAGGGAGAAGGAGAATTAAAATTGATCTTAAAGTTTCTAGCTAAGGTGACTGGGTGAATAATTTTGCCATTGGCAGAAACAGAAATATTTAGGCTTAAAGGTAATTTGGGTATACCTTTATTTCATAGAATTTTTTGGCTTAATAACTATAGGAATATAACTTCCAACAAGTAGCAATACATGGATAATTTTTGAAATTATGTAGTTTGTCCTTAAGGTATATGATTTGGGCTGCCTAGTAATTCTTCATAATTTATGAATTTCCAGAGAAGAATAGGGTCCATCTTGAAATGGATTCTTGTTCAGATTGCTTTAAGACCACCTGTGAGGGGTTGATTGGGTCCACCATTATTTATTCTAGACAAGGAAGGCAAGGGAAGAGTGTAGCCTTCTTCTAAAGGAACTCCTGATCTCTGAAATGATATCTGAGGTTGGCTTATTGGTACAGTATAAAGCACGTAGGAGTCAGCCATGCTCATGAAGACCCATCAGTGTTCCCAGTGACCCTTTGATGAAGGTTGCAAGTAGATATACTAACAGGCACTAGAAGCCGCCATCGTCACGGATGCTGTGTTAAGTGATATTTTTCCATTTTTCATTTCACATTCACTGATAAACTTATTTACATAAAACTTTATATTGTTATACATATTCCTTGTAGAAAGCTTAGAGGGTATATAGGCCTTAATAAAAAGAAACACAACAAAACTTCTCCAAGATAACAAAAGTAAAGCTTTTAGCTTTTCTTAAAATTTTGTTTCTAGGCATATTTATGTCTTCCTCACTTAAAAATGCATAATTTTGTTCTGTAACTTGTTTTAATGAATTATGAACATATAGTATTAGATATGGCTGCATGTATTCTACTAAATATATCTACATGATATATTCAACTAATTTTCTATTGAAAATTTGTTTTTAGTTGTTTACTAAGTAGTTCTATGAAAAATATCCTTATATAAATTATTTTTCTACCTTAGTGTGTCACTTTTTAAAAATTTTATTTCAAAATATTATAGGGATTACATGGATAGTTTTCTAATGCTTGAATCAGGGTCATAAGTGTCCTGTTGGCCAGATAGTGTTCATTGTACCCATTGGGTAGGTTTCCACCATCCTTTCCTCCCTTCTTCCTACTTCCTAATTTCCATTAAGTTTTACTTCCCTCTATGCCCACCCGTGTGCTCATTGGTTCCTGTTTAATAGTGAGTACATGTGGTGTTTGTTTTTCCTTCTTTTAGATAGTTTACTTAGGATAATGGTCTTCAATTCCATCCAAATTGTTGGAAAAGGTATTAAGTCATCCTTCTTCATGGCTGAGCAGTATTTTGTAGTCTATACATAACACATTTTATTAATCCACTCATGAATTGCTGGGCATTTAAGTTGATGGCACATTTTTGCAATTATGAATTGGGCTGTAATACAGTTGAGTGTGTGTCTTTTTGATAAAGCGTATTTTTTTCCTCTGGGTAAATACCCAGCAGTGGGATTGCTAGATCGATTAGGTCAACTTTTAGTTCTTTGAGGAATCTCCATACTGTTTTCCATGGAAGCTGTAGGAATTTGCAGTCCCACCAACAGTGTATAAGAGTTCCTTTCTCTCTGCATCCATGCCAACATCTCTTGTTTTTGGACTTTTTAATAAAAGTCATTCTGTCTGGGGTAAGGTGTTACTATCTTACTGTGCTTTTAATTTTCATTCCCATGATGATTAGTGATGTTAAGCATTTTTCATATGTTTATTGGTCTTTTCTCCATCTTTTCAAAAGCTTCTGTTCATGTCTTTTGCCTACTTTTTAATGTGGTTTTATGATCCCCCCACCCCCGCCCCACTTGTTTGCTTGAGTTCTTTGTAGTTTCTCATTCTTTGTAGTTTCTGGTTATTAGCCCTTTATTGGATATTTAGCTTGTGAACATTTTCTCCCATTCTGTAGATTGTTTATTTGCTCTGTTGATTATTTCCTTAGCTGTGAAGTAGCTTTGTTTTTTGTTTTTATTTTATTTTATTTATTTATTTATTTATTTTTAAATTGAGAAAGAATCTTACTCTGTCACCCTGGGTAGAATGCCATGGTGTCATAGCCCACAGCAACCTCAAACTCTTGGACTCAAGTGATCCTCTTGCCTCAGCCTCTCAAGTAGCTGAGACTATAGGCGCCTGCCACAACACCCAGCTATTTTTAGTCAAGATGAGGTCTTGCTCTTGCTCAGGCTGGTCTCAAACTCCTGAGCTCAAGCAATACACCCACCTTGGCGTCACAGAATGTTAGGATTGTAAGCCTGAAAAGGCTTTTTAATTTAATCAGATCCTGTTTATTTATTGTTGTTGTTGCTGTGATTGCCACTGGGGTCATTGTAAACTTCCTGCCTTGGCTCATATCTAAAAACTTTTCCAACATTTTCTTCTAAAATGCTTATGGTTTCATGCCTTAAATTTAATTCTTTTATCCATTTTGAATTAATTTTTATGAGTGCTGAGAGATGGATCCTGTTTCATTTTTCTGAATGTGCCTATCCAGTTTTCCCAAGAACATTTACTGAAAAGGGATTCTTTTTCCCAGTTTATATATTATTATCTGCTTTGTGAAAGGTCAGTGTTTGTATGTGGATGGTTTTATATCTGGGTTTTCTATTCTATTTGTCTATGTCTATATTTTTGTGCCAGTACCATGCTGTTTTGGTTACTATAGCCTTGCAGTATAGTTTGAAGTCTGAGAATATGATGCTTCCAGATTTGTTCCTTTTGTATAAGATTGTTTTGGCTATTCAAGTTCTTCTCTGGTTCCAAACGAAGTGTCAACTTTTTTTCCTAGATCTGTGAAATATGAGATGAGTATTTGACAGGGAATACATTGAATCTTTAAATCACTTTAGATAATATAGACATTTTAACAATGCTGATTCTACCAATCCATGAGCATGATGTGTTTTCTCATTTGTGTGTCATCTGTGATTTTTTTTTTTTCTCAAGTGTTTCATAGTTGTCTTTATAGAGATCTTTTTTGGTTAAGTATATTCCTAGGTCTTTTATTTTCTTTGTAGCTATTCTGAATGATATGGACTCTGCTTGACTGTTGTTGCTGTTCAGTCAGTCTCCAGGTTCCAAATGAGATAGATTCTATAGGTTTGTTCTTAAGTTGAATTTATATGTAAATTGGAACAGATACATTTTCCTACTTACCTTTAATAGCTTCTGTTCATAAGTGTAAGTTGTAGGTCACTCAGATGTTTGTAACTCAGGGACTTACTATAATAGCCTCTGTTTGTAAGTACCAGAGTGAACAAGTGTCAGTGTTGTTTTGGGATCTGTGATTGGTGTGCTCAAATGTCCCAGGTGGTGTGTAGGGCCTTGAAACTTCCAGGTGAATCCTTATTCTCTGCTATAGCAGAGGCTGGGCAGAAGTGGGTTGAATGAGCTTGCCTTCAAGCAGCATTAAAGTTGGCTAGGGCGGCACCTATGGCTCAGTGTGTAGGGGGCTGGTCCCATATACTGAGGATGGTGCGTTTGAACCCGGCCCCGGCTGAACTGCAACAAAAAATAGCTGGGCAT